TCCCCCACTGGGGACCTGGCCTGCAAACTAGGCATGTGTCCTGACTGGGAATCGAACCAGCAACTCTTTGCTTCACAGGCCCGTGCTCAATCCACTGAGCTACATCAGCCAGGGCAGTTCTGTGGTTTTTTGACCTCACTAATGTGTCTTTGTTGGCTCCTAATCTTTTGGACATGATCAAATGAAAAGAACAATTATGTTTTAAAACATACACTTGGCCACTCCAGCTGTTTCATCTGGAACCTTAGTCCTGTGTTTATATAATGGCAGTTGTCTGATGAAAGAGATTAGGCACTTAGTATTTTGAAAACAGGTTAAAGAGTGAGATCAATTTTCGTTTCAAAGACTTGCACAATTTAAATGAATTAGATGAATTACATGAAGTAAGAGATAAGCTAATGCTTTCCCCTTTCATTTTCCATTTGGGGGTGGTCATGATTTTAAATAAAAGTAAACAGGTAGAAAAAGTTAAATTGATTTGGAAATATTCTGTAGCCACCATCAATGCAAAACTAGTTCAGTGTTGTTTGCATAGCTTGAACTCGTCAATTTCTTTAACAAATGGGTACTTTTAGAGCCCTGGTAAAATAGGCTGGATGATTTTGACTGCTTATGTGTTGGAATTTATTATTGGTCTAACTGAATTATTGCAATTTTGATAATGTTTCTCTTTCTGCACATTCTCTATATTTTTCTTCTTTATTCTAACCTAAAATGGGCTACTTTTAAAAAAATTATTTATTTATTTATCTTTAGAGGGGAAGGAGAGAGAGAGAGAAGCATCAATGTATGGTTGCCTCTAGTGTGTCCCCTGCTGGGAACTGGCCTGCAGGGAACTGGCTTGCAACCCAGGAATGTGCCCTGACTGGGAATTGAACCTTGATCCTCTGGTTCACAGACCTGCGCTCAATCCACTGAGCTGCACCAGCCAGAGCTTAAAATGGGTTACTTTTTAAAAATCTTTTTCCTCTAACTTTATTGAGGTATAACTGACAAATAAAAATTGTATGTATTTAAGGCATACAACGTGATGTTTTGATACACACACACACTGTGAAATGATTACTACAATTAGGCTACTTAACATATCCATCACTTCACAGTTTCCAATTTTTGTTAAAAACTCTTAAGAACTCACTTACCAAATTTCAAGTATATAACACAATACTGTTCACTGTAGTCACCCTGCTGTGTGTACGTTAGATCTACAGAGTTTATTCATCCTGCAAAACTGAGACTTTGAATCCTTGGGTCAACAGCTCTCCACTTCCCCCACTGCCCAGCCCCTGTAATCACCATTCTAGTCTCTGCTTCTAAGAGCTGGACATAACCTAAGACATGTTAACTATTAGTTAACTATTAGGAACACTGTCGTGATAAGCACTGTTGTTCATATTTCCTTGTGCACATGTGTGAGACTTTCTGCAGGGTAATAAATACACCCAGGACTGCAAACGTTGTATTCTGGTGTATGCTTCTCTTCAACTTTACCAGATATTGCCAGGCAGGTTCCATAGTGGTTGTACAAATTTATACTTTTTAAAATTGTTGTTCAGGTACAATTGTCACCATTTCCCCACCACCACTCCCCCCGCCCCACCTCACACCCTCGACCCTATCCCCTGTGGCTTTGTCCCTGTGTGCTTTATACATGTTCCTTGACAAACCTTCCCCTCACACCCTGTTATTCCCGTCCCCCTACCCCTCTGGGTACTGTCAGTTTGTTCTTCATTTCCATGCTTTTGGTTCTGTTTTGCTTGTTTGTTTATTTTATTGATTAGGTTCCAGCACAATTTATAATATCCAAATGCTGGAAGCAGCTTAAGTGCCCATCAGTAAATGAGTGTATCAAAAAACTGGTACATTTCCACAGTGGAATACTACGCAGCACAAAGAAAGAAGGAAATCTTACTCTTCGTACCAGCATGGATGGAACTGGAGAGCATTATACCAAGTGATATAAGGCAGGTGGTAAGGGACAAATACCATACGTATGTGGAACCTAATCAACAGAACAAACAAGTGAGCAAAATATGACTAACTTACACTCTTACCAGCTGAATTAGAGAGATCCTGTTCCTTCCTCCACATCCTCAGTAATACTTGTTATTGTCGGATTTTGAATTTTTTGTATACCTTATGAGTATGAATTCATTGTGGTTTTAATTTGCATTTCCTTGATTACCATAGTGATAAAAACTGCACCAGGTAGAACTATATCCAAAAAGAATTTTAAGTTTCACTGTAAAATTTATCACGAATTCAGAAACCTTTCCTAAATTATGGGAGCTATTTTTAGGGGGATTTTATGAATAATGTTTGAACTTTTGTGATCATCTTTCTGAAGTGGTTTTGAGCAGTCAGACTTCATGCATCTGATGTTTGTATACAACTTCAGCTGTTTCTGTTTTGAGACCAGAGATGAGGATCTAGTCATAATACTGTTCCTCCTTTGGGGAATGTTATTACCAATGGTGATTACCATCTGTATTTAGGAAGTGACTCAAAAACATTTTACTATCTAGATGTTATTTCCCACAATGTTGTTGGATGCTCTTGTTCTCAGAGTCGCCTCATTACTAATAGCTGCATGCCAGGTTTGTTTAATATTGTGATCTGTCAGAAGCCTGCATTTTTTCCACACCATATGAAATTGTTTATGCTCTTACTCTGTTTTCTGAGTCATTTTGCTAAATGCAGTGGGAGGTTAGAAAATGTTCCTGACTTTGTACCTGTCTTTGAGACATTAAAAATTCAAAAGATGGGCATTAACTATGTTACAAAGTCAATTAGAGTTTATATATTTTCATAAAGCTTATATACTGTCTCTCATGCACCCCTACTGGGGACCTGGCCCACAACCCAGGCATGTGCCCTGACTGGTACTGAACCAGTGACCCTTTGGTTCACAGGCTGGCGCTCAATCCACTGAGCCAAAGCAGCCAGGGCTATTTGTTTAATTTTCTTTCTTTCTTTTTTTTTAAGATTTTATTTATTTATTTTTAGAGATGAAAGAAAAGAGAGAAGAAAAGAAACATCAATGTATGGTTGCTCTCATGTGTCCCTTGCTGGGAACTGGCCTGCAACCCAAGCATGCGCCCTCACCAGGAATCGAACCGCGATCGTGTGGTTCATAGGCCCGCACTCAATCCACCGAGCTACACCAGCCAGGGCTATTTGTTTAATTTTCTTTATTCCCTATTTCACTCTTCTGTTTTGGAAGCTATATATTGTTTTCTAGTCTCTTACTAATTATCCTTAAGATTTTATTATGTGTCCTTAAGAAAATCTAGGTTTTATGTGTTTTTCTACATATATTCTGAATAAGATCAAGGACCTTAGAATGTCTTAATTGCAAACTCCCATCCATATTATTGTTTTCTAGTATTTCAGGTCCACTGTTTTTTATGTGTGTTTGTGTCTGTGTCTGTGTTTAAATAGATAATGCATTCTCATGGTATAAAATTCAGAAAGTAGAAGAGAGACTAGATCTTAATTGTTCTCACCACAAAAAATGGTAAGTGATGAGACCGGTGTTAGTACTGGTAGAAGTCACACTACAATATAAAAAGTGTATCAAACCAACACATTGTACACCTTAAACTACACAATGTTATGTCAGTTACATCTCGGTTTGTAAAAAAGGTATAAAAGTTTATAGTGTGAAAAATTTTTTCTTACCCTTATCCCCTAACCATTCAGTTGTCTTCACCAAAGGAAACTACTGTTTTTATGGGATATATTTGGTTGATCCATATGAAATTGCCAGTATTCCACTATTTTGATATGCAGTAATGGCAACTTCATGCAGTTCATATTAATAGCAGTGAAAAAAACAGATCCCTGTTTCCATGGAATTTTCATTCTAGTGAGAAATGTATTAGTTAATGATTTCAGTGTAACAAATTATCCCAAAATTTAGTGGTCTCTGATGATGTGTTAGTAGTCAACATGTCAGCTGGGGCTGCAGGCATTTAAAGCAGGGGTGTCAAACTCATTTTCACCAGGGGCCACATCAGCCTCGCAGTTGCCTTCAAAGGGCCGCATGTAACGTTAGGGCTGTATAAATGTAACTACTCCTGAACAGTGAAGCAAGAGCTCAGCGCTGCTGCCTGGTAGAAACAAGGTGCTGGGCCTTGCGTTTGCCACCTGTGCTCCAAAGGCTTAACCGAATCTGGAGGATCAATTTCCAAGACAGTTCACTCACCTGGCCACTGGCAGGAGGACTCAGGTCTTGCTCATTGTTGACAGGACACCTCAATTTCTTCACACATAAACCTCTTTATAATGTTGTATTCTTGTGACATGGCAGGTGGCTTCCCCCAGATCTGGTGATTCAAGAGAGAGGACAAGGAGGAAGCTACAGTGACTCCTCCCTCCTGCCTTGCAGTGCTTTTTATGACCTAGCCTGGGAAGTCACACCTCCTTGCTTCTACCATATTCTGTTTGTTGGAAGCGAGTCACTGAATCTAGGCCACACTCAAGGGGAAAGGAGTTAAATTTCACCTCTGGAAGGAAGGAGTAACAAAGAACGGATGAACATATTTTTAAAACCATCACAGGAAGACAGATGATAAGCAATAAACATAATAATTAAATGATGGAATACATTAGAATGTGATAAGGTCTATAAAAAAAGAAAATAGAGCAGAGGTATGGGGAATCAGAGTGTGTGTGTGGAAGTATGTGGTGGGTTACAATTTAAAACAAGGTAGTCAGTGTAAGACTCATTAAAGTTAGATTTGAAAGAGACAAGGTTAGCAAAGCAGATAATCCAGAAGAAGAAAGCCCCAAACCAAGGGAATACCTAAAGCAAAGGCCCTGAAATGGGAATGACGGGACGTGAGAGAAAAGAATACTACTGATTATATTTTATCAGTAGTATATTTTCAGTTGAGGCGGTGGGGGAAAGTTGAGGAAGTATTATTTCCATGGCTGAAATTAATCAGTTCATTGTTTCTCATAGGAATGTAAAGAAGAAATCTAAGTGGATCCAAATATGAGTGTGAGTTCTGTGAGCATCTCTGTGGAGGGGATGACATGTAGTTCGTGCGTTTGGACCATTGAGCAGCAGATTGGAAAACTGAACGGTGTGCATCACATTAAAGTAAGTTACACTTCGGGAATTAGTGAAGTCGGAGATTTCAAAATGGGTTTGACTTCTCAGTGAAGTACAGCATTTACCCTTCCTGTCTCTACAATATTCTTGTCTGTGATTCAAACCACTTGTAAAATCTTGAACAAATTGCCTTCAATTTGCCTCGTTTTCATGACCAAAAAAGGGGCTAATTGGCATATAATGATTCTTTATGCGGTTTGATACAAAATTTCTTCAATTCAAGAGTCATGTGAAGTGTGGTGGCAATATATGGGTAATTCTTTTATGCTTCTGAAACTGTAGGTGATTTTTTCCCCATGTCTTGATTTTCATATTCATCTTGGCAAGAGAGAGCAAAGCAAGCTTTGGATCCATTCTTACTATTTCTATGGCGGAAAAGCAGTGCTCACATCTGTTTTCTGTACCACACACTCTGGTCAGCTAAGACTGTGGTTGATTGATAGTTGTGGCTAAAACAGCTTTATTTACATATTACGCTAAGCCTTCTGTGAAGCTTTCTGCCCATAGGAATACTTAGATATGAATATTCCACTTTCCCATGTTCCACAAGTAGGATTTTCTTTTGTATTCACCATCTACTTTCACATAACTTTAGTCTTAGAGGCTATTTATTGCCTCTCCCACTTTTCCTGCCCGCGCCCCCCCCCCCCCAAGGATGCAGCTTTGTTTAATTTGCTTTGGGGAGGTTTCCAAGTTGGAAAAGCTGAGAAGTGACAGTATTTACAACATTGAAGGTTTTGTCAAACTACTTTACCTTCAAAATATATTAAACATTTTTGTAAACTTCCCAAAAATCAGGCAGATATTTCGCAGTTTGCTGATTTGAAAAGAGGATGGCCAAAGTGACCCTACAGACTTCCCACCCAAAGATTTAAAAACGAGTTGTTTAATTTCAGTGCATAGTAACTGACACCTGCATTTGATTTGACCCCCAAATGAAACCAATTAAATGTCCTCCTGTTGATCTAAGGGGTTGGTGCTGGGCGCAGGAATAGAAGCTAAATCTTACTAATTGTCTGTGCTAATTGCAGTAAAGCTACTTACCATCAAAAAACTAGTTCACATAATTTTTCTCCAAGTGACTTTGGTACTTACTCTTTGTCTGGCAAACTATTTTATGTTAATATCCGTTTTGCTAACATATCCATATATAAATGAAGGGCTAAATCCTGCTTTGACATTTGCAGGTACTTTCCTGTATAGGTTTTTTAAAAAGCCTATTATATCACACTCGTCTGTAGGGCTGTGTTTCTACTGCATCTTCCCAGAACTCACCTCTGTTAAGAAAGCCTGTTTAAGGTCAGAAAAATGCATTTGAATTAGATTAAGTGGAGAGGGAAAGTAGCAACGATGTAATGTGAAAGCACTTTGTGTTATCAGCAGTGATTCACAGGGATCCCAGTGACAGATGCTTAAGGCCATGCTTTCCAGGGGTGCTCAGTTTGATCGCCTAAAACAAAAACAGTTTGATCGCCTAAAACAAAAGGAAGCACACTTGCTCTGCCTTCTCCAGCTCGCCTTTCCTCCTTTAGTCAAAAGCCCATATAGAATATAATTTTAATATATCTTTTTTTCTTCATTTAAAAATATTTTACTGGGTGAGGGGTGGATGAAGAGGGCAAAGGAAGTCAAATATAAGGTGATGAAAGGAGACTAGACTTCAGGTCGTCAGAACACAATGGAGTGTGCAGATGTTGAATTATACATTGTAACCTGACATTTATATGATGTTACTAACCAATGTTCCCCAATATATTTAATAAAAAATATTTTACCGAGTGTTAAGTCTTCTAGGCCGAGAAACAGATTTATTGTAAAGTTAAGGAAGCTTAAGTTTCACAGCCCTTCACTTATAGTGACACCTTCTGACACCCTGAATGGAGTGTTAGCAGTGGGTTCACATGGTTACGTGTTTTTGCAAAAGTAAAATATTTTGCCTTGGCTGGAGTGGTTCAGTGGATTGAGTGCTGGCCTGTGAACCAAAGGGTCACCGGTTCAATTCCCAGTCAGGGCATGTGCCGGGGTTGCCAGCCAGGTCATTGGTGGGGTTGTGCAGGAGGCAACCTCACATTGATATTTCTCTTCCCCTATTTCTCTCTCCCTTCCCCTCTCTCTAAAAATACATCAATAAGATCTTAGAAAAATAGAAAACATTTCATCCACAGTCCTCTAAGTCTATTGTCTAATGCCACTTAGACTCATCCCCCTCTGCATTAGACTTCCCCTTTGCGTTGGGCGATGCTGAATGTGCCTTGGGCACCTGGAGGATCTGCCTAAGAGGAGGTTGAGTCGGGGACATATTTAGTTTGGGGTTAGTAGGATATTTAGCTGTATGTGGTTCTTAGTCATTTGTGTGTACAGTGACATTTTTGCTCAAAATTGTGGTGTAGGAATGGCTTCCAGCAATACTACTGCCCACTGACTCACTCAGGGCCACGGCAGGAAGCTGTAGAGCCCAGTGTAAAAATGGTAAGTGACTATTATCAGGTCAAAGAATATTTCAAACTCATCTCTACACAAGTAAGCTTTTCAGAAATGCCCTGAAATCGTATAGCTCCTACATGAAAGCAACTGGGTATTTTTTTTCTAAATTTGACAGCAGGTCTAAAAATTTGTCAATGCCTAGTCATGCTGTTGAAAAGAACTTTTCTAAACTCTCATTAAAAAATATATATATATTGACCTGTGAGATAGTTATCTTTCTTTTCTCTATGTTGAAAAATATTTTTGTAAAAGCATTGTTGAATGAAACAGCAGAGTATACAGTAAAAAATACAGGAAAATAAAATATAGAGGTAGCTGTGTATCAGGCATTCAAATTACACCTGTTATTTTAATGGATTTTATGGTATTAGGTTTTAAAAATTTGTAAATTGTAACTTTATTACTTATTCAGAATATTTACTTTTGAACAGAATTTTTTTCAGTCTCAGATTCTTTTTTTTAAAGATTTTATTTATTTTTTAGACAGAGAAGAAAGGAGGGGGAGAGAGAGGGAGAGAAACATTGATCGGTTGCCCCTCACACGCCCCCAAACCAGGGACCTGGCCCACAACATGGGCATGTGCCCTGACCAGGAATCAAACCGGTGACCTTTTACTTCACAGGCTGCTGCCTAACCTGCTGAGCCACACCAGCCAGGGCTGGATTATTTTTCTTAAAGAAAGTCCCCCCAGATGTTTAAGTTTCAGGGGCTACAAAAAATAGATGCAACTCTTTCTAGGAATCATATAGAAAATTTTCTTTGTCCAAACATAATTTATAGTCAGAATTGACCTCGACATGTTAATACATAAATACTGGTCACTTTTTAGAGAATGTCAAGGTTTAACATTTCTAGATCCTAGTTTCTCAGGTTACATTTCCTCCTAAGACTAATGTGCAGTGAATTTAGAAACCAGGTTTGGGGAGGATACTGTTTTGAGTAAATCAAAAAGTCCTGGTAGTATTTGGGATAAAACTGATATGAAGTGATACAATTGTGACATTAAGTTGAGGGAGGTTGCTTTATGGACAAAGAAGTTTAAATGGAACAGGTCAGAGCTTTAACAAAATTTGAGGAGAGTGAATAGTCAAGGAGTCTCTAATTTTAGAATAAGTAGAATGGTTGATTATTTCTCATTGCAGCTTCATCACTTAAATGCATTTTGGGAATTTTGTCTTAAATCGTAAAGTTTGTGAGTGTAATACTCTTGTTTGTTTCTGCCAATGTCAAGACTGCAGACTTTAAAGGGATTAACCTGAAGTTTAATTTGATCACCCCAGCGGTCTGTTCAGGGGGAAAATGAAATAGGCAGATAATTTGAAGGTCTTTCTCTGTGATTGGTTGGCTTTTTTGAAAGTAGAAATGTAAAAACAAATTTAATTAGATATAAATACTTAATGACTCCAAAGGTTAATGCTTTATTAGCAAATTACTTTGTCCTTGAAATTTAAACTGCTAACTCTGAGTGCTTTTTCCCTTCATGTAGATAAAGGCTGCCATCCATTCTGCTAATATAGATTATGCTTTTACAAAATGACCACCCAGATGCTGGCAGTAACTCAGTTCATTCCATGGACATCTTGCTTGCTGCCCTTAAATTTGACTTTTTTTTTATTCTTGAAAAGGTTACACATGTACAGAGTAAAATCTCTCTCTCAAAGGAAAACAGTTATCAGTTTGCAATGTATATATATCCTTCCAGAAATAGACAATGACTATAAAATGGTTTGTGCGTATATGTGTATTTATATGTGTGTGTATATATATATATATATATATATATATATATATCCCCGTTTATATAAATGGAATCTCAATATAGATATTGTTCTGCACCTTGTTTTTTTTACTTAGCAAAGATATGTTAGATATTGTTCCATATTGGCCTATAGTGATCAGTCTTTTTGATTTCTATGTGGAGCTGTTTTTGTTTCTTAATTTTTGCTATGTCAAATGACAGTGTATTGAACATTCCTTTTTCAAACACTATTCAAGTAATATAGGCATGTTGCTTAACATAAATTTCTAGGTAATAATCATCCATCCAAGAAGATGTAAAATCAGTTATTCAGGGAGGCTTAGGTTTCTGGTTTAGTTGAATTTCACCCCAAGTATCAAAGAAAGGTCCAATCCAAAGTAAAAATCTAATAGTGGAAGAATGGTGTGAAGAGGAACTGTCACTATTTCCTTTTTATTACTTTTATTTAATTAAAAAATTTTTTTATTGATTATGCTGTTACAGTTGTTCTATTCCCCCTTTATTCCCCTCCACTCTACCCCTCATCCCCACCATTACCCCCCCTTTAGTTTATGACCATGTGTCTCAAGTCCTTTAGATTCTATATTTCCCATGCTATTCTTGCCCCCCCATCTATTTTCTGTCTACTGTCTATGCTACTTATTTTCTGTACCTTCTCCCCCCTTCTCCTCCTCCCACTCCCCTGTGTTGCTAACCCTTCTTGAGATCTTCATTTCTATGTTTCCACTCCTGATCTAGCTGTCC